CTGGCGCCTTAGCCACTTGAGCCACAGGTGCTGAGTCTTTTTTTTTTTTTTTTTTTAAAGACAGGATCTTACTCTATTACTCAGGCTGTAATACAGTGAGGTATCAAAGCTTCTGGGCTTAAGCAAACCTAACTTAGCTGCCTAGGAAGCTGGGATTACAGGTTGCACCACCATGCTCTAATTTTTCTTTTTTCAACAAGCTTAGGTTTTTTTGAGATGAAGTCTTATTGTTTCCCAGGCTAGGCTAGTCTTGAACTCTGGGCCTCAGCCTCTCAGGGGTGCGTCTTATTGTCTCTAATCTTGGAATCCAGAGATTATATTTTTTCCTGACTAGCAAATGCATTTCTTCTACATTTATAGAATATTTAATTCCTTTGAAGAACTAGACTGGCAGTTCTAGTTCATATAAATTGAAATTGCTTTACTAATTAAGGCATAGAAGGCAGTATTTATATTTATGTAGTCATTTCCCCAACTAGTTATATAGTCCTGGGTAAATTCCCTTTATTCTTTCTGCTGTTTTCCTAATCTACAAAACATGCTTTTTAATCTAATATTTCTTAATTCTATGGGGGCCCTTTATTTGAGAATAGCAGTTCTTGGATGTCTGCGATTAGTCAGTAGGTAACTCCTATTTTTCTGTCACAGGCACCACCAAGGTATTTGATAAGCCAAGGAAACGAAAACGTCAGAGACATGCTACAACCAAGGTGCAGTGTAAAAAAGTGAAAAGTGACGATTCATCAAAGGAGACTCCAAGTTCAGAGGTACTACTCAGTTCTCGGTCTTTTGGCCTTCTAAAGATAAGGTACTTTTCATTGTAGAGGCCACACTCCCTTCTCCCAGGAGTTTACTTAAGAATAGTATTCTATTGAAATGGCCAATAGCAAAATAAATAAATAAAACAAAAAAAGGAAATGGCTGATATTGGTAAGGATTCTTGGTGAAAAAAGAGAGCCTGAATATATACTACAACTGTGGGTATGATCTTTAAAAAAAAAAAAGGATCACTAGGTGTCAGGTAAAATATATAACTGTTTCATCATTAAGTAAACTTGTTCTAAAACCAGAGAGCACAACTTCAAATAACGGTATGGTTTGAAGGAACTTGGATATTGCCCTTTAAATGTTGAGACTGCTGCGATTACGGGTTAATTTTTATTTGCCTATTTTTGAGATTATCAGCTGCTTAATTTTAGGATAATCTTTGTAAACATTGGCTTTAAGGAAACAAAGGTAAATTTCCTTGCACAGCATCAATGCAATCATTGATGCTATCTCTGACTTTCCAATTCAGGTTAAAAGAGAATTAGTGTAAGTCAGGTCAGCATCACACATTAGGGTATAGAATGTTTCTTTCCAGGACAATTTGATTAGAATGCCCAAGGGGGGCATTTAGGAAACACTGATCTTGGAAGGACAAATAAGTAATCAAATAAACTTAAGAATGTTTTCTCTCCCTTAGTGAAACCTTAAAATGGAACAGCTCAAAAAGTTCCAGTGGAACAGCCTCAGAGCAGTTAGTGGCAGGGCATGAGGCGCCCACTACCCGCCCAATCACAGCAGGGTTAGAACTAACATTGCATGCAGTCCGCCCGCGTGATTGGCTGAACATCTGTAAGTGCTTAATGGCTAGACAAATAGCAGCCCAGAGGGAGGGGGTCAGATGGAGGAGACATCAATATTACAGATTTGGGACATTATTTTTTCTCTGCAAGGGGGAACTAATGACCCACAGAACGACTGGAAGCCCCAAGGAGACTGTTGAGGAGGGTATAGAACACGACTCTGGGATGCCTGCCTCTAAAAAAATGCAGGGTGAACGTGGTGGAGGAGCTGCACTGAAGGAGAACGTTTGCCAGGTAGAGGATGTTTGCCCACTTTATATTTTCATTGTATGTTTACCTTTTAGGAGAAGCCCTCTCCATCTCTTGATGACCTTAACCATGATGATTAGAATAAAAATGATTTTGGATGATTTCAGTGGAATTACTTCCTTTAAGGATCTAGCCCTTTTTCCTCCCCAGGAGAAAAGCAAGGAAGTGAAATAGTTCAGTATTTTTGAACCACCTGCTTTCATAGCCCATGAATGAATATATTCCCTGAAGTAGGTCTGAGATAGGAGCTTGGAATCTGTGGTTGCTTAATCAGATATAATTTTTTGTTTTTCATGGTGTAAGAATCTTTGGGTTTCAAAGGAATTTTTGAGAAGTTTGAGGGGGTTTTTGCTTATTTGATTGGTAGAGAATTTTTTGTTGTTGTTTGGGGAGGTTGCTCTAAAGTGGTGACTTTAGAAAATCTATCACCTATATTTTCCTATTTATTTAAGGACAGAGTCTCACTGTGTTGCACCTGTATTTTTTCATTGATCTATGTATTTATTTTGAGACAGAGTCTCACCCTGTTGATCCGGGTAGAGTGCCATGGCATCATACCTCATAGCAACCTTAAACTCTTGGGCCGAAGAGATCCTCTTGACCTCAGTTTTTCATTTTTAGCAGAGATGGGGTCTCACTCTTGCTTCGTCTGGTCTTTAACTCCTGAGCACAGGTGATCTCGACCCACCTTGGCCTTCCAGAGTGCTGAAATTATAGGCCTGAGTCACCACTCTTGGTCATTCCCATTATTTAATAAATATTTATATAGTACTTACTATGTATCAATTATTATTCCACGCTTTTGAGTCATCACAACAGTAATAAAGTTCTTTTAGTTTTCTTTGTTTCTGTTAAATGAAGAAACACAGTGAAGCCTTGATTCACACCTCTACAGTTTGGCTTTTGAGTTGTGTCATATTGCCTTTTTTAGAAGATGTGACTCCACTTCATTGTTAAATATAAAACTTGAGGATATTAGTTCTTATTATTCTTTAATTGAAACAACTAAAAAATTTACCCCCTCTCCAGAAGATGTTGTGCCCTATATAATTTCTTTTTAGTTGTTTGGTTTTTCATTTTCACTGCATTTTATAAGGATTATTGTTCATATTTCAACCACCTCCAAAACAGAGTTAATCCTCAAAGACAGTTTATTTATGCCCATTTTTTGTACTAAATAAGATAAGTGAGAGTATAAATGTATTTTGTAGGGATTTTATTTTCTACAAAAAGATAAAGGTTGGTTGACCGTAGGGTCCTGGCTTATTTGGATACATCTTTGTATAAATCTCTTGTCCTGGCATAGTTTATTAATAGCACCTCCTTTCATTTTCAAGTGTCCCAGTTAGAAAGATAAATTATATGGTCATCCCAATTGAAGTGTTCATCATAACATTTAGTTAATCCCAATTGAAGTGTTCATCATAACATTTAGTTAATTTCAAAAGTTTATTTTTCATTTTATATTGTATTGAAATTTTCCTATTTAGATGATAAAGATAAATTTGTTTACTGTATATAAACACTAAAGTCATTGGCACTCTGGCTCAGCACCCATATCATAGTGGTTATAGTGCCGGCCACATACACCAAGGCTGGCAGGTTTGAACCCAGCCTGGGCCAGCTAAATAACAATGACAACTGCAACAATAACAGGAGCCTATAGTCCCAGCTACTTGGGAGGCTGAGGCAAGAGAATCGCTTAAGCCCAAGAGCTTGAGGTTGCTGTGAGCTGTGATGCCACAGCACTCTACAAGGGTGACACAGTGAGACTCTGTCTTTAAAAAAAAAAAAAAAGAAGTGGGCAGTGCTTTGGCTCAAAGGAGTAGTGCGCCAGCAGAGGTGGTAGGTTCAAACCCAGCCCCGGCCAAAAACTGCAAAAAAAAAAAGTCATTTATACTCTAAATATACAAAAATAAATATAATATTTGTTCCATTTTCAATTTTATGTGTGAATAGTGGGTAAACAGGAGAGTCAATATTTGAGAAGAGATCAGGCTTGCCTCTTTGGCCTTGCTTCCTAAAGCTTATTAGAATTTTAGCTTTGATATCTGTAAGTGACCATTACCTGTTCTGTTTTTTTGAGTTCTTGAAGTTAAAACTTGCTTAGTGGTTGTTTCCCATTCTTGCCTTACATAGTAAGTATAAGGCTTTTAAAGATTTTTAGTATTTTTCTGCTAATTCAAGTGAGGATGATAGCAACTGAATTCAAGTTAGAGTGGTAACAACTAATACATGTGAATTTGCAGAATTCTTATGAATATTGTAATGTTTTTATAGTGACATATACATGTAGTTAGACTGAGTTCTGTAAGGAGTGAAAAAAAATTTTTTTAAAAAGGTGCATATGGGCTTGGTGCCCACAGCACAGTGGTTACAATGCCAGCCACATACACTGAGGGTGGCGGGTTCAAACTCGGCCCGGTCAGCTAAACAACTGCAACAAAAATATAGCCAGGCCTGTGGCGGGCACCTGTACTCCCAGCTACTTGGAAGGCTAAGGCAAGAGAATCGCTTAAGCCCAAGAGGAGTTGGAGGCTGCTGTGGCTGTGACCACATGGCACTCTACCAAGGGCAACATAGTAAGGCTCTGTCTCAAAAAAAGAAAGGTGCATATCATTATTTCCTAAGCCCTCTGTCTTAAGTGATACCCTATCTTATATCTTAGATGAGATCCTGTGAGAAGGATCTTTCTGAGATGGTCCTCAATGTGTCTCAAAGGGCTGTTGAGACCTCAGTGGGGGCTCATTTGGGACTATTAAGACCTGAGATCTGCTGGCTAGCATCTCTTGGTTGAACCAGTGTGTTGTCCTTCTGGTTTGTCTCTTTACTCTGTAATCTGCCTTTTCATTTTTAATGTAGCAGTTAGAGGGATAGTGGGATCTTTGTAAAAATGAACACCTGATTTTAGCCTTCCATTGGCAAAGCTCTTCAGTAGTGCACCTTTGCCTCTTGTTCACCTTATTTTTTGCCATTTCTAAATATTGTTTACTTTATTCCAGTGGTACTGGCTTTTCTTGTGATCCTCATACTTAGGAAAATCATGTTTTCCCATTTTTCGATCTATGGACTTTCTGTAAGAGTTGCCTACCTGGCCTATTCTTCAGATCTTTTTGCTTGTTTGTTTGGAGACAGAGTCTCACTGTATCACCCTTGGTAGAGTGTTGTGGCATCACAGCTCACAGCAACCTCAAACTCTTGGACTTAAGCAATTCTCTTGCCTTAGCCTCCCAAGTAGCTGGGACCATAGGCATCTACCACAATGCCTGGCTACTTTTTTATTGCAGTTGTCATTGTTGTTTAGCAGGCCCTGGCTGAGTTCGAACCCACCTGCCTCTGTGTATATGGCCAGTGCCCTTAACCACTGAGCTACAGGTTCTGAGCCTTTTCTTCAGATCTTTGTGTGGCTGACTTGTCAGAGCTACCTTAGACTGAGAAGCCATCCCTCTAGTCAGCCAATCCTAAGTAACTGCTTGAATTCTCTACCTAATGCTTACCATTATCTGATATCTTTCCTGTTTATTTAATCATTTACTTGTGTTTTCTATAGCTAGACTTTAAAAAACACAGAGCCAAGAACCTTGTGTGGTGCCTGGCAGAGGAGGTAATTATTAAATTATTACTTCAGTGAATGGTGAGATTTCTTGTTTCTATTAAGACTTCTTTTTTTTTTTGGACATGGAGTCTCACTCTGTCATCCTGGCTAGAGTATAGTGGAGTCATCATAGCTCAGTGCAATCCCACCCTTTCTGGTTTCAAACGATCCTCCTGCATTAGCCTCTCAAGTAACTGGGACTACAGGTGTGCATAGAGATGGTGTCATGCTCTTTCTTAGGCTGGTCTTGCAGTCCTGGCCACAGATGATTCTCCCAGCTCAGTCTCCCAGAGTGCTAAGATTATGGGTGTGAGCCACTGTTCCCTGCACAGTTTTTCATCTTTCCTTCTAATGAGAGCCTCCTCATTGGTTTTCTTTCTTTTTTATTTTTTGAGATAGAGTCTCACTTTGTCTCCCTTGGTAGAGTGTTGTGGTGTCATAGCTCGCAGCATCCTCAAACTTTTGGATTGAAGAGATCCTTTTGCCTCAGCCTCCCAAGTAGCTGGGACTATAGGTACCTGCCACAATGCCTGGCTATTTTTAGAGATGGGGTCTTGCTGTGGCTCAGGTTGGTCTCAAACTCCAGACCTCAAGCAATCCACATGCCTTGGCCTCCCAGAGTGCTAGGATTACAGGCATGAGCCATTGCGCCCAGCCTATGACATTGGACTTTTTAAAATCTTTTTTCTATAGACAAATCTATGTTCTTTCTCTTAATAGAATTGTGAGAAACTGGGTGAACTGCTGTTATGTGAGGCTCAGTGCTGTGGGGCTTTCCACTTGGAGTGCCTTGGATTAACTGAAATGCCAAGAGGAAAATTTATCTGCAATGAATGTCGCACAGGTAAAGTAGATTAAAGAAAAGTCGTCTTCCCAAAGACACTTGAGTTCTAAGTTTTTCTGGGAAAAAACTTATCTATTTGAGCCACTGTTTTGTAGCAACCCTGGGATAATTGCTACAATGGTGTTAGTATCTCTGCCCTCAGAAAAGCTGCCATTTGAATAATGTCTTGATATCACAATACAGTGCAAAATGTGTTGTATTGGAGATACTTTCAAAGTGCAATGTGAGCAGAGATGAGCTAATTAAGCGAGAAATAGAAATTTGTATGAGAAGAGGAAGGACACAAGTTTCAATAATGAAAGTGAGTGAAATATTTAGAAAATAGAGATTATAGGTCAGTATATTTAGAGTTTAAGATACTTTAGTTAAGAGGTATTGGTAATGACTGGAAGGGCTTCTGGGTTATAGGTTATGTTTTGTATTTCTTAATTTGGCTACTAATGAGTATGTTTACTTTGTGATTATTCATGAATTGCTATGTATAGGCTTAGCATGTCTGCACTTTATGTTATGTGTGTGCATCATACATTAATAAAATGTTTACCAAAAAAGAAGATTCTTTGGAAGAGTTGTAACATAAACTTGGGTCATAAAACAGGAATTTGCAGCTCAGATCAGCTTGTAAAGCACCTCATATGCTATACTGTGTTCTTTTTTAAAAGCATGATATGTAGATGTTACAGCATTTAAGCAATGAAGAAATCAGGGCTGAAAGTATAGATCTTATGCTGGTAAGTCATTGACATCATGGGTGTTGATTATGTTGCCATAAGAGAAAGAAAGCATCAGTGAAGAGTGGGCCAGTGACACTACCTGGCAATACACTCTTATGAAGAGTTAACTAGAAAGTGAGGAGAAACTAGCCATTATTTTATGAAGCTATGGGAGTGGGGTAATATCAGTAGGGACAGATGTGACAAAAATACTTAGGAGGTTATATATTAAAAAGAGGCAACTGTTTTTGGCAATGAGAAAATGCTTTACTTTTTTTTTTTTTTTTTTTTTTTTTGATACAGTCTCCCTTTTTTACTCTCGGTAGAGTGGCATCATAGCTCACAGTAACCTCAAACTCTTGGGCTCAAATGATTCTCTTGCCTTAGCCTTCCAAGTAGCTGGGACTATGGGCACCTGCCACAATGCCCAGCTATTTTTAGAGATGGGGTCTCACTCTAACTCAGGCTGTGCTTGAACTCATTAGTATAGATGATCTGCTTGCCTTGGCCTCCCAGAGTGCTGGGATTAAAGGTATGAGCCAAGGCACCCAGCTGAAAATGCTTCAGTTATTGGCAGGATGTCAAACTATATTGAAAGGTGAATGGATAGCAATGTATATTACTTCTTTAAAAAGTTTGACTTCAACAGAGAGGAATGTCGTATCTGAAGAGAAGATGTTATAGGGTCCAAGGAAGATCATATTTAGTGACCATAGGATGGAGGTTAGGAATAAGTGTGGAGAAACAAATTTCTGCAAAAAGAAGAGGGGAATAATGGTGGAGTACAATCACAGTAACAGGAGAGGATAGTTTTGAAGAAAAGATGGGAATGTACTTTGCCATTGTGAGGCAAAAGACAGGAAGAAGTTTTTTCTTGGCTTGGTAAGAATGATGGGAATGGTAATTGTTTCTACTCTGACAGGTAGTGTATAGCTTTAGAGTAAGAAATGAGGTGGATTTAACCCATGTCTGTAAATTGATGACTGTGTCAAATTGAAGCCCTTATTGGTTGTGACAGTTCTTTTAATTTCTTGGAGCCACTTTCAGCAATTTGGGATCAAAAATTGGAAGATAGTTAGTTACAGTATTATTTCACCTTCTGCTTAGTTGGGCTTTTGATTATTATAGGAAGTAATGCCATGCGGCCCAGTAATATTGTAGGTATATTAATCTTTCTTCTGTCCTAATCCTAGAAAGCTCTTCTTGCCTTTTGTACTAATAATTTAGTTTTGTTTGTCTTGTTATCTTTATTGTGATGTGATGTTCTTTGAACAGGTTGATCTAAGGTGATACAGTTTTTAAGAAAATCAGTTTTATCAGCTGGGCTCCTGTAGCTGAATGGCTAGGGCACCAGCCACATACACCAGAGCTAGCGGGTTCGAATCCAGCCTGGGCTTGCCAAACAATAATGACTACAACCAAAAAAAAAAAAAAATGTCCGGGTGTTGTGGTGGGTGCTAGTAGTCCCAGCTACTTGGGAGGCTGAAGCAGGAGAATCGCTTAAGCCCAAGAGTTTGAAGTTTCTGTGAGCTCTGAAGCCACGGCACTCTCCCCAGGGCCACACCTTGAGACTCTGTCTCCAGAAAAAAAAAATCAGATGTATAATTTTAGATGTATAGATGTATAATTTTTCCATTCTAAAATGCACACATTTTAATCATATGCTTTGTTAGATTGTGATACAATGTATACACCCAAGTAACCACAATCAATGAAAATTTTGAACTTCTGTCATTGGACAAAGTTCTCTTATGCTCAGTCCTACTCTGTCCCCACCTCCAACTGCAGGTAACCAGTGATCTGATTTCTGTTACAAATGATTATATTTTTCATTTTTAGAGTTTCATATAAAGGAAGTGAAGTAGTATGTTTCAATAAGGTTGATTTATTTTTAATTTAATTTAATTTATTTATTTTTGAAACAGTCTCATTTTGGTAGAGTACCCTAGTATCGTAACTCACAACAACCTGAAACTCTTGGACTCAAGTGATTCATTTGCCTTAGCCTCCCTAGTAGCTGAGCTCAAGCATTCTACCCTCCTTGGCCCCCAGAGTGAAAGTTGATTTTTTAAAAAACTGGTTAACCTTAGATTAGCCTGTTCAGATAGCATTATACATATCATAATAAAGATAATAAGACAAACTGAATTTTTAGCACAGAACACAAGAACTGCCAGGCGAGGTGGCTCATGCCTGTAATCCCAGCATTCTGCAAGGCTGAGGTGAGCAGCAGCCTGAGCTAGAGAAGAGCCCCTGACTGTAAAAATAGCTGGGCATTGCGGCAGGCGCCTGTAGTCCCAGCTATGTGGGAGCCTGAGACAACAGAATCACTTGAGTCCAAGAAATGGAGGTTGCTGTGAGCTATCACACCATGGCACTCTACCAGGGACTACAAAGTGAGACTCTATCTCAAAAAAAAATGACAAGAAGACTCCTAAGATTAGGATAGTAGAAACATTAATATGACTAAAAATATAAATATACCACTTTTGATGTATATGTCAGTCATTTCTCTTTTTTTCTTTCTTTTTTGTTTTTGAGGTAAGAATCTTACTTTGTCACCTTAGCATAATGTGGCATAATAGCTCAACAGCAACCTCAGTCTCTTGTGGTCAAGCAATCCTCTTGCCTGAGCCTCCTAAATAGCTGAGACTACAGGCTACTGCCACAAAGCCTGACTATTTTTAAAGATAGGTTCTTGCAGTTGCTGAGGCTATGTTGCAACCCCTTGGGCCCCTATGGCCTTGGTGTTGATCACCGCAGGACCAGGGCTGACACAGATTAGAAGTACAAGCTTGCAGGAGGCGGGCTAGCCTTTCTTTGCAGAATAGACCTGAACAACCTCCACACTAGCCTTTTAGTGAGACCATACAACACAGGTGAGGGGACTAATTAACAAATGACTATGTGCTGAGGCTTGGGCTCTTCTTCCACAAAGAACACCTGCAGAGGAATGGCCCAAGGGTCCACCCCCAGCTGTAAATCATCTGGCTCTTGGCGCCCTCTACAAGGCTAGTTTCAAATTCATAAGCTCAGGCAGTCCACTCACCTTGGCCTCCCAGAAGTTTCTCTTTCTTAGAAGAGCTGTATTCGCAGTGGCTCATGCCTGTAATTCTAGCACTCTGGGAGGCCAAGGCAGGTGGATTGCCTGAGCTCAGAAGTCTGAGACCAGCCTGAGTAAGAGTGAGACCCAGTCTCTAGAAAATAGGCGTTCTGGTGGGAGACTTGTAATCTCTGCTATTTGGGAGGCTGAGGCAAGAGAATTGCTTTAGCCTAAGAATTTGAGGTTCCTTGAGTTATGACGCCATGGCATTCAACCCCAGGGCAACATAGTGACACCTTGTCTCAAAAATAAATAAATAAATAAATAAAGCGCTTTATTGAGGTTAATTGTATATCTTTTTTTTTTTTTAGAGGCAGAGTTTCACATTATTACCCTTAGTAGAGTGCTGTGGCATCACAGCTCACAGCAACCTCCAACTCCTGGGCTTAGGCAATTCTCTTGCCTCAGCCTCCTGAGTAGCTAGGACTATAGATGCCCACCACAATGTCCAGCTATTTTTTGTTACATTTTGGCCAGGGCCAGATTCGAACCTGCCACCCTCCGTATATGGGGCTGGCGCCCTACCCACTGAGCCATAGGCGTTGCCCTAATTGCACATTTTTTAGGGGTATAATTTGTTAAGTTTTTGACATGTGTGTATATATACATATATGTACGTATATATGTATACGTACATATATATACACACACACCTGTGAAGTCATTATTCTGGATAATTATTTTGAGCAAACAATGTTATTGTTTGTATTGATATTTCATTTTCTTTTATAGATGAGTAGTATTCCCTTGTGTCCATTTACTGCAGTTTGTTGATTGATTCATGTATTGGGGCATATTTGAGGTCTTTGTAGTTGAGACTATTATAAATAAAGCTACTGAGAACATTTAGTTTGAACACATTTTCTTTTCATTTGAGTAAATTCCAAGGAGTAGAATGGCCAAATCTTAGGTAGGTATATGTTTGCCTTTTTATGAAACTACTAATTTTTTTTTATTCCTACCAGCAACATATGAGAATTCTAATTCTCTGCATTTTTTTCAACACTTAGTTGTTTTGGGTTTTTTTAGCCATTTAATGGATATGCAGTCGTATCTCATTGTGGTTTTTATATGCATTTCCGTAATGATTGATGAGCAGTTGTTATGTGCTTTGATGAAGTAACTGTCAAAATCTTTTTTAAAACTGGGTTATTTTCATATTGTTGAGTTTCACAGTTTCTTTATTCTGGATACAAGTCATGTATCAAACAGATACTTTAAAAAATATTCTCCTGGTGTTGCCTGTGGCTCAAAGGAGCAGGTCACTGGCCCCATGTACCAGAGGTGGTGGGTTCAACCCAGCCCAGGCCAAAAACTGCAGGAAAAAGAAAAATTCTCCTGATCTATAACTATCTTGTCTTTTCTTTCTCCTTTCATTTCCTTTTCCTTTGCCATTCCCTTTTCCTCTTTCCTAACTCTCTCTGTCTCTGTCTCTCCTACCCACTCCTGCCCCTACTCCTTTCCCTTCCCTTTCCTTCCATTCTTGAGATGGAGTCTCACTCCATTGTCCAGGCTGATCAGCCTCCCAAGTGGCCAAGACTATAGGCATGCATCAGTATACCTGCTCCATTTTGGGGGGATAGGGTTAGAGAGAGGATCTTGGTATGTTGCTGAGATTGATTTCAAACTCCTGGCCTCAAATGGTCCTCCTTCCTCAGTCTCTCAAACTGCTAGGATTGTAGGTGTGAGCCACCACACCTGACTTCATTTTCTTTTTTTTTTTCTTTTTTCTTGAGACGGAGCCTCAAGCTATCCCCTGGGTAGAGTGCCATGGCATCATGCTCACAGCAACCTCCAACTCCTGGGCTCAAGCGAGTCTCCTGCCTCAGCCTCCCAAGTAGCTGGGACTACAGGTGCCCACCACAACACCTGGCCATTTTTTGGTTGCAGCCATCATTGTTGTTTGGCGGGCCCAGGCTGGGGATTCAAACCCGCCACCTTAGGTGTATGTGGCTGGCGCCTTAGCCGCTTGAGCCACAGGTGCCGAGCCTGACTTCATTTTCTTAATGGTATTTTTGAAAGAGTAGAAGTTAAATCTATTTATCCATTTATTAATTTTATGGACTATGCTTTGGTGTCATATCTAAGAAATCTTAACTCAGTGTCATAGATTCTTTTTTCTTTTCTCTCTTTTTTTTGGGGGGGGTGGGGGAGTGTCACTTTGTCACCCTCGGTAGAGTACCTTGGTGTCAAGAGCTCCCAGCAATCTCAAACTCTTGGTCTACAGTGGTTCTATTGCCTCAGCCTCCTAAGTAGCTGGGACTATAGGCACCCGCCACAACACCCAGCTATTTTTAGAGACAGGGTCTTACACTTGCTCAGGCCATTCTTGAACCTGTGAGCTCAGGCAGTCCACCTGCCTCAGCCTTCCAGAGTGCTGGGATTTCAGGCATGAGCCATTGCACCTGACCCTCTCCTATGTTTTCTTTTAAGAATTGCATAGTTTGAGGTTTCACATTTATATGTATGATCTATTTTTAATGTTTTGCATATGATATGAGGTATAGAGAAGTAATTATTTTTTGAGAGTAGAAAAAATGTCCCCAGTTTTAGTAAAGGTAAAGAGAGTAAGAAATGGTAATCATTTTTCACTGCTTGTGGCTCACCCTGTTTTCCTGCAATAGGGTGACCTTATCCTTACTTAGATTGCTCCAGTTTAATAATGGCTTCAATGTATTTGGCATCAGGCTGATTGGTTTCTTTATAAATACATATTTTAATACTTTTTCCTAAAATTGTTATTAGCTGGGCGATCTCAGTATTTGTAGATAAGATAGGTGATTTGAGTGAGCTCTTATTTTCAGCAAGTGCCTATGACAGAGTTCCCATTCATCTCTGCCTCTCAAATCTGAGGTCTTTTCTTTACGTTGTACTGTATCTCAGAAATTGAATACCTTTTCTTTTTAAATGTTACTATAGAAATCCTCAGCTTTGAGCAGTGGCACTATTGTAGCCTATGAAGTTTATTTGAGGTATAATTATTGCTAATTGAAAACTTTTCCCAATATCCCCCCCATGACAACTTTAAACATAGTTGGCATTGACAATTCTTTTTTTTTTTTTTTTTTTTTTTTTGAGACAGAGAGAGTCTCACTATGTCACCCTTGGTGGAGTGCTGTGGCGTCATAGCTCACAGCAACCTCAAACTCCTGGGCTTAAGCGATTGTCTTGTCTCAGCCTCCCAAGTAGCTGGGACTACAGGTACCCACCACAAGGCCCGGCTATTTTTTGGTTGCAGTTGTCATTGTTGTTTGGCAGACCCAGGCTGAATTCGAGCCTGCCAGCTCCGGTGTATGTATGTGGCTTGCGCCCTAGCCACTTGAGCTACAGGTGCCAAGCCAGCATTGGCAATTTTTGACAGTCTCTATGGAGACTGGAAAAAAAGAAAAAAGGTAGAAGTCTTTAGCCATACATAGTGGTACAAAGAACAGTGGGTCCAGGGCAGTGGCTCACACCTGTAATCCTAGTAATCTGGGAGGCTGAGGCATGACGATTGCTTGAGCTCAGGAGTTTGCAGTTCAGTAAACTACAATGATGCTACTGCAGTCTACCTAGGGTGATAGAGGGAGACTCTTATCAAAAAGAAAAGAAAAAGAAAACCGTGTGAAAAGAATCCCCATGTGTTCATCACTTAATTTCAAAAGTTTTCAACTTTGTACCTCACTTTCCCTATGTGTTTCAAGAGATTTTTTTACAGATACAGTTTTTTAAAATACATCCAACAGGTGAAAATATACAGTAACTTCTTTGTGTCATCTACCATTTTTACATTTAAAATTTTCTCATTTGTCTTTTTGTCTTTTTGCAGTGTTTTGAATTAAGATCCAAATAACATTCCTATATTTTATTTTCAAAAATATGTCTCTTGGCTTGGTGCCTATAGCTCAAACGGCTAAGGTGCCAGCCACATACACCAGAACTGGCAGGTCCGAATCCAGCCCGGGCCTGCCAAACAATGACGACTACAACTAAAAAATAGCCGGGCGTTGTGGCGAACTCCTATAGTCCCAGCTAGTTGGGAGGCTGAGACAAGAGAATGGCTTAAGCCCAGGAGTTGGAAGTTGCTGTGAGCTGTGACGCCATGGCACTCTACACAGGATGGCAGCTTGAGGCTCTGTCTCAAAAAAAAGAAAGAAAGAAAATAAATATGTCTCTTAATTTTCTATATCTATTATAATATTACTAGCATATTTTTAAATGCTATATTTTTGTTGAGGCAATGGTCATTTTTCCTCTAAAATTTTCACATTCCCTGTTTGGTTGCATCCTTTGAGGTATCCCTTTAACTTGTTTCTCTGTCTTCCATATTTCCCATAAACTTGTATTTATATTTACGGACTAGATTAGATTCAGTATCAGTTTTCTTCTTTAGGCAAAGATGCCTCAAAGACAGTGCTGTTCCTGTTGTTTTACGTCAGCAAGCATATTTTGTCAGATTATCCATTTTTAGTGATGTTGAGATCGTTCAGTGGGTTCTGATGTCAGACTGATCAATCCATTATGAAGTTTCTCACTAAATTTTTACTTACTGGTATCACATGATGTAGATTCTTGAATTAGTGTTAATTTGTTACTTTCTTTTGGTTTCTCAGGAATTCATACCTGTTTTGTATGTAAGCAAAGTGGGGAAGATGTTAAAAGGTGCCTTCTGCCCTTGTGTGGAAAATTTTACCATGAAGAGTGTGTCCAGAAGTACCCACCCACTGTCATACAAAATAAGGGCTTCCGGTGTTCCCTCCACATCTGTATAACTTGTCATGCTGCTAATCCAGCCAGTGTTTCTGCATCTAAAGGTATGGATTTCTCATACAGCCCAATCTAATTATAGTACCTCAGTTTTCTTGGCAACACACTTTTTTTTTTTTCAGACAAGAGTCTTACTTTGTCACCCGTGGTAGAGTGCATGGTGTCATAGCTCACCAAGAGCTTGAGCTCTTGGGCTCAAGTGATTCTCTTGCCTCAGACTCCCAAGTAGCTGGGACTGTAGGTGCCTACCAACACCCAGCTATTTTTAGAGATGAGGTCTCGCTCTGGCTCAAGCTGGTCTGGAACCTGTGAGCTCAGGCAGTCTACCTGCCTTAGCCTCTCAAGTGCTAGGATTCTAGGC